ACGACGACGACGACGACGACGACGACGACGACGACGACGACGACGACGACGACGACGACGACGACGACGACGACGACGACGACGACGACGACGACGACGACGACGACGACGACGACGACTACTACTACTACTACTGCTGCCATTACTACAACACGGCTAATACGACTACTCCTGCTGCCTCTATCCCTACCAGTACTACTACGACGACGACGGCTACCACAGCTACTACTACTACTACTACTACTACTACTACTACTACGACTACTACTACTACTACTACTACTACTACTACGACGCCTGCTTCTACTAATGCTTCTACTACCATTAATACTGCTGCCACGACGCCTACTACCACGACGATTACTTTCCTGCTACGACCCAAGCTACAGCAACTCGTACTACGACGGCAACAGCAACAACAATTACTAATACTACTACCGCTAGGATTGGCACGACTGCTACTGCCCCTACTACTACAACTACCACCAATACTCCGAGTTTACAAGTGGAACTAGCACGACGACTACGACTACTGATACTGCCACGACTGCTACTACTACTACTACTACTACTACTACTACTACTACGACTACTACTACTACGACTACTACTACTACTACTACTACTACTACTACTACTTTACTACTACTACCACTACTACGACTACGACCACTGATACTACTACTACTACTACGACTACTACTACTACTACTACTACCACCACTACTACTACGACTACGACTACTACTACTACTACTACTACTACTACTACTACTACTACTACTACTATTACTACTACTACTACTACGACTACGACTACGACTACTACTTACGACGCGGACGACAAAGACGCAGCAACGACGATGTCGACGACAACGACTACTACTATAGCGATGCATACTTCCACGATCACTAGTACTGCGACTAGTAGAAATAAGTTTATCACTACCACTACTACTACTACTACTACTACTACTACTACTACTTCTACTACTACTACTACTACTACTACTACTACTACTACTACTACTACTACTACTACTACTACTGCTACTACCACTACTACTACTACTACTACTACTACTACTACTATTCGTAATACTACTAGTAGTAGTACTACTACTACTACTACTACTACTACTACTACTACTACTACTACTAGATTAACTACTACTACTACTACTACTACTACTACTACTACTACTACTACTACTACTACTACTACTACTACTACTACTATTACTACCACTACCGATGACGACGACGACTACTTCTACTATGACTGTTTACTACTGATGACTACTACTACCAAGTTGCTCTCAACACGCAACAAAATGAGAGTTTGCTCTCAACACGCATCCGGTCGCGCGCCCAGCCACACAAACGCGCGACGAGCCACCGGAAAACCCAACGGGTAGCACAAACCGGCGGTCGCAAACCTGGGGGGCGGTGAAATTCCCCTCCCCCTCCCCGGAGGGGTGGCACCGCCCTGCCTGGAGATTGGGGAGGGGGGGGGACGATCCCCTCCCCGCGCTAAAATCGAACCGATGGTGAGCTTTGTTTGAGCTTCGTTGGAGCTTTGTTCGCGCCCTGCTTGGAGCTTTGTTCGAGCGTTGTGGAAGCTTCGTTGGAGCTCTATCGGCGCCTTGTTGGCTCTTTGCTCGATTTGTTGCAGGGTTGTTTGAGCTCTCTTTGCGAGTTCTGAGGTTTCGTCTGGCTTTGCTTGAGATTTGTTGGAGCTCTGTTGGAGCTTTATTGGAGCTTTGTTGGCGCTTTGCTCGAGTTCTGCTAGAGGTTTATGTGAGCTTTGTTTCAGCGTTGTTCAAGCATTGTCGAAGATGTGTTTGAGCTTTGTATGAGCTCTGTGTGATATTTGTTGAAATTCTGTTTGAGTTTTGTTGGAGCTTTGTCCGAGCTGTGTTTGAGCTGTGGTTGAGCTTTGTTTGAGCTTTGTTTGGGTTTTGCTTGGGCTTTGCTGGAGTTTGTTTGAACTGTGCTTGACCGGTGTGTGCGCTGTGTTTGAGCTTTGCTGGCGCTTTGCTTGAGCTTTGTCTGAGCTTTTTTGGAGCTTTGTTAGAGCTGTGACTGCGCGTTGCTGGAGCCTTCGGTTGAGCTTTGTGTGAGCTTCGTTTGAGCTTTGTCTGAGCTTGTGTGGGCTTTGTGTGAGCATTGTTTGAGCTTTGTTTGAGCTTTGTTTGAGCTTTTTGTCTATCTGTGTTTGAGCGCTGCTTGAGATTTGTTTGGGTTTGTATGAGCTTTGTTTGAGCTTTGCTGGAGCTTTGTTTGAGCTTCGTGTGAGCTTTGTTGGAGTTTCGTTTGAGATTTGTTCGAGCGTTGTTTGAGCTTTGTTTGAGCATTGCTTGAGCTTTGTCCCGTCTTTACTTGAACCTGATTGAGCGTTTGAGATTGTTTGAGATTTGGTTGAGCTTTGGTTGAGCTTTGTGTAAGCTTTGTTTGAGCTTTGCTGGACTTGTGTTGGAGCTGTGTTTGAGCGCTGCTTGAGCTTTGTTTGGGCTATGTTTGAGCTTTACGCTGTGCTTTCTTGGAGCGTTGTTGGAGCTTTGTTTGAATTTTGGTTACGCTGTGTTTAAGCTTTGTTTGCGCTTTGCTTGAGCTTTGTTTGAATGTTGTTGGAGCTTTGATTGAGCTTTGTTTGCGCTTTGTTTGAGCTTTCTTTAGGCTTTGATGCAGCTTTGTTTGAGCTTTGTGTGAGCTTCGTGTGAGCTTTGTTTGAGCTTTGTTTGAGCTCTGTTTGAGCTTCGCCTAAGCGTGGTATGAACGGAGCGGGCGAGGCTGCCTGGCGTAAAACGGACAATTAGCCCTTCCGCACTCCGTTCAGGTTAGAATTCCAGCAGGGGAAAAGGCCGTCACACACACCCCCGTCGGTCGCAGCCCACCTCCCCCCCGCGGGTCCCAGCCAGGGGGTGGGGGCGAGGAGATCCGCCGCTCCCACTCCCCCGGTTCGGGTGGGAGGCTGTTTGCCCCCCCCCCCAATTCGAACCAGGGGGGGAGAGCTTGCCAGTAACAGCAGATGGCGTTCTTTCCCATCTTCTCTCTCCCTGTCCCTGGCCCATACCTGTCCCTACCTGTCCCTATCCCTACATGTCCATCATTTCCTCCCTTCATCATCTTATCATCATTCTTCTTTCTCCGCCCTCCCCCCTCCACCCCCTCCTCCTCACCCTCCTCTGCACATCCCCCCACTGGCCGTACCCACATCCCCTCCTGGTTGGAGAGATGGTGGCGTTCCACCTCCTCCATCCGCGAATTGTGTGGACTCTGCCAAGACCGGGCAAATTTCGTCCCAACCTCCATGGTGCCATCCTACGCGCATCTTTCCATCTGAAGTCCGCGTACAACGACTGCCACAAACAGGCGCAGTGCAAACACGAGATCTCTGGCTGAAGCGCGGCGCGGCGCGGGCCGCGGCGCGGGCCCGCCTGCCGTTGGCGATCTCGGCGTTCAGCTTCTTCGTCTTCGCCTCGCCGTCAAAGCCGGAGAGCAGGGGCGGCTTCCAGCCCACGTCGCCGGGCGTCTTCTCGGTGCCGATGTAGTTGAAGCCCAGACCGGACGCCTCGACGTAGAGGCAGTAGACGACGATCTGGAGCCAGCCGACAAAGGGCACCTGGGAGCCGGCCGAGGAAGGGCGCGGGGCAGGGGCAGGGTCAGGGGGCGAAGGGAGGTGGAGGGAGGCCGAGGGAAGGGGACGGGGAGGGGGAGGTGGACAGGCGGGCGACAGTGGAGGTGGGCGGGGGTGGAGGTGAAGGGGTGTGGTGGGGGTAAGGGGAGGTCAAGCTAGCCAGCTCGAGCGAGTCAAGCATGGCATGCCCATTCCCACCCGCCCTCCCACAACATAAGAAACAGTGATGGCACAACTGGGGGCTGCGCGTTCATTTCGATGCGAGTGGAGGTAAGGGGAGGTGGAGGGGAGGGGGACATGGAGGGAGAGGGGAAGGGGTGGAGGGCGAGGCAGGGATGGGGGTGATCTGGGGCCGGCCGAGGAAGGGCGCCTTGGAGATGGCGGCCAGGCCGTTCGGGATGTCCTCCGGAGAGGACATGATGGACCCTCGCCCTCGCGCGACCGAGCCACGCCAAGTCGCACCCCGCGCCCTGTTTTCCTTGCCGCTCCCTCCGTCTGGAGGCCAGCTCGGTGCGGGTCGGCAGCGGGGGGAGAGAGGTGGGGAGGGGGACCAACAGCGACAGGTGAGCTTCCCCGATCCAGGTCCTGGAAGGCCAGGCCCTTGGACGGGCTGAGGTACCCCGGGAACTTGCCGGCAACCTCGGGCGTGATGTAGCCCATCGTGGCGAGCATGCTCACGCGCCCGTGCTTGATCTCGGTGGAGCGGCGCCTCTTGAAGGCCGCGGCGTCGCCGTCCTCGAGGACGAGGTGGGGCCCCCACCAGACCAGGAGCCGGGGGACCAGGGGACCGGAGCAGGATGACCAGAGGCAGGATCACCAGAGCAGGATGACCCCCACCAGGAGCAGGATGACCAGAGGAGCTGGGGGAAGGGAGGGGAGGGGACGGGCAGCGAGAGGAGGGGGAGAGGGTTTGGGATGGACGCACAGGGGAGAGGAGGGGGACGCGGCACTTGCTTGCTCTGCACTCCGAGAACGGCCGGAGGGGACGGGGGGGGAGGGCGAGGGCGAGGGGGAGGGGCGAGGGGAGGGGTTGACGGAGGAGGACGCGGCCACGGGGGGGGGCCGAGGAGAGGAGCGGGAAGGGGCTCGGACGCGCTGGCCCCCGTCGGGTCGGGTGCCCCCCAAAAAGTCCGAGCCCAGGCCACCGCAGAGTCTGCGGAGGCCTGGCGCGTCCAGCTGTGACGGGGCTGAGCGGCTGACCACGGCTGCCTCGTCGCACCGATGCTCCGAGGTCTGTCCTACGCTCTCAGCGGAGGGCCATCTGAGACACTGGCAGCTGGCCCCTTCGGGGAGGGGGCGCCCCCGTCGCGACGGCTGGACGCAGCTCGGAAACTGGAGCGTATGGATGGAGGGCCTCGCCCCGCCATCCATAGGGATCCCTGCGAGAAGACCCCCTGTCCCACCCACTCCTCCTCCTCCTCTTCCTCCTCCTCCTCCTCCTCCTCCTCCTCCTCCTCCTCCTCCGTCGCATGTCTGGGTCCTGATTCTTTCAGGACGGCGTCCCCGGAAGTCCCGACCCCTTCCCCTGGACCGGTTTTCCATCCCGAGTCTTGTTTGACGGTCCTGGGGCCCGGACACGGCCCCCAAGGGCCAAACGTGTCTGCCCCCAACTTGCCGTCCTGATTTTCTTACGACGCGAATATGTCTGCCCCTGGGTCCTTGCTCAGCCCGGCAGGGTCCCAGAAGCCCACCGGCGCCTGCGGGGTAACAGAAGGACACACAGAGAGACATCCTCCTCCTCATCCTCCACCTGACAAGGGTTTGCTGACACTCTGAGATTTACACTCACATCTGCACCCCCGCCCTGCTGCATCTAGTCCCGAAGCCATGCCGTGTGAGATTAGATTGGCAGGAGCGTCAGCTCCGCAGCGGCAAGAGAGACACCGCTGCTCCCCGGGAGCTCTCCCAGCACACGCCCCGAGCAGCATCCCGGCGCGAGGCCAGTCGTGGCGCCGAAGCACCCCCCGGAGGCCCGGCGAGGCGTGGGACGCACAGAGAAATACAAATACTGTATGTCATCCTCGGAGGCGCACGTCCGACCCGAACATGTAGTACTAAGTCGGGCGTGTCCCCTACAGGGGGACTTTGGGGCGAAACATTTTAAAAACATGTTGAACAAATACCCCCAAAAATACTCAAAAACAGTCAAAGAATCGTCCCCATTGCATTTTTTGGCTATTTTTGAATGCTCCCCCTGTCGAGGGACAGGCCCGACTTAAATACAGTATACCCATCTTGCAGTACATCGTTTCCCGAGCGGTGTGGTCAGAAAGCGCCCGCCACGACGCATATACTGTAAAATGTCTCGGTGCGCGCGTCGCCCCTCGGGGGAACGACGCACACACACACACACACACACACACACACACACACACACACATAGCATAAGTATGTCGGGGTGCCGCCGAAGGCGGCGCGTCGAGGGGAGGGGGGCTCGGCAGCGCAGCGGCCAGCCATTTCCTCCCCAGACCCCCGACGTCGCGTTTTTTTTGTCACAGCGTCGGCTCCCAGAGGTCTGGACTCCTCCTCCTCCTCCTCCTCCTCCTCCTCCTCCTCCTCCTCCTCCTCCTCCTCCTCCTCCTCCTCCTCCCCTTCCCAGGGACTGGCTTCTCCTCCTGAATAGCTTCTGGACGGCCCCGAGGCCAGGCGGGGGCCCCCAGAGGCCGAAAATGACGAAAAGCCTCCCGTCGTGATTTCTGTTCCACCACGCGAGGAGGCCTGGGTTTCTCACTCTGAGTCGTTGTCGACGGCCCTGGGGCCCGGCGAGGGCCCCCAGGGGCCGAAAACAGCGAAAGACTTGCCGTCCACAGTCTTGCCACGACACGATCATGTCTGGGGTTGTGGATGCCATGGCAATGGACTCTCGAACAATCCGATCGTTGAATTAACAGTGTGTTTAAACTGTGTAGAACGTGTTCTAAAGATGTTTCACTAACATCTATATGTACATATACATATATACATATACATGTATACATATACATATGCATATACACATACCAATACACATACACATACATATACACATACACATACACATACACATACACATACACATACACATACACATACACATACACATGCACATACACATACACACACATACATATGCATATGCATATCCAAATACATATGCATATACATATACGTATACATATACCTATACATATATACATATATACATATACATATACATATACATATACATATACATATACATATACATATATATACATATACATATACACATACATACACATATACAAATACATACACATCTACAAATGCATACACGTATACATATACATAAACATATACATATACATATACATATACACATACATATGCATATACATGTACATATACATGTTCTTGAAACATGTTCTAAGACGTCTGGGAACTATTTGCCAGCACGCTCCCCCTCCACCAGTCGACGCCCACAGGTCTGGGGAGCCTGCACGCCGAGCTCGCTCTCGAAGGCGCCCATGGCCACGACCTCCCTCCGCGCGGCGGCGGCCGGCGGAGCCCTCCCCGTGCCGCCGGCGAGCGCCCCGCGCGCGAGCAGCGCGAGGGCGGCGGAGGCGCCGAGGAGGGCGAGGCCCGCGGCCGCGGGCGAAGACGGGCCCGCGGCGCCCGCCGCGGCCGCCGGGGCGCCCCGCGAGGGGGCCAGGGCCTCGGCCTGGGAAGGCGTTGCCTTGCCTGCCGCGGGCGCGACGAAGGAGATGCCGGCGCTGAGGAGGCTGATCGCAGCGGCGGCGACCAGGGCGGCGCCCATGCGGGAATGGAGCGCCTGCCCCTCCCAGCGGCCCCTCCCCCGGGAGGGGGAGGAGCGGAGAGGGAGGAGCGGAGGGAGAAGGAGGGGGGAGGAGGGGAGAGGGGAGGAAGGGAAGCAGTGGGGCGGGAGAAGGGGGGTGAAGCGGGAGAAGAGGGTGGCACCCACGCGGGCATGAGATGCCTGCCCCTCCGCCTCTGCGATGGCTCTTGGCGCGTCCCCCGGCAACGTCCACCCGCTCCCCCTCCACCCTAGTTCCCTCCATCCATCCTCGTCCCCCTCTCAGGGACGAACGAATCCTGCCGTCGCCCAGAGACAACCCAAGAAGGGCGGCAAGCGCGCCAAACGCGCGCTGGCCTCCGGGAAGGCCAGGTTGCAGGAAGCGGCCCCCAGAAAGCCTGTTGCGGCCAATGAGGACACCCTCGGGGAGCGCCATATACGGAAGATTGCCTTGGCGGCGTTCTCCACACCGAGAGGACGGGTGGTGCCACACAGCGACGCGTCCTACGCAGGTGAAGCACTCAAGCATGCGTGCGCGAGGAGAGGCGAAGGGCCCTGACGGAGACTGCCTACGGCGTCCCTTGCCTGTGGCGGGCCTGGCCAGCGGCCTGAGATGGCTACACACCGATCCCAGCGCCAATATGGGCGAGCAGGAGGAGGAGGAGGAGGAGGAGGAGGAGAAAGAGAAAGAGGACTAGAAGGAGGAGGAGGAGGAGGAGGAAGGGAAGGGAACGAGGAGGAGGAGGAGGAGAAGGAGGAAGAAGACCAAAAGGAGTCGGAGTATGAGTAGGAGTAGGAGTAGGCCAAGTTAAGCCGACCCCGCTCACCAGTCTAGCTTGCGCGCAGCCACCTCACTTCCACCACCTCATCACCTTTTCTGCCCCCCCTTCATATTTCCCTGATCAGAGTTTGCCTCTGTAGGGGTCCTAGCGGATTCATATGGTTAGGTAACTTTTTTCGCCGATTTCCGCGGCCCGCCTGGGTGCCCGGGTGCCCAGGTGTCCCGGTGACTGGGTGCCCGGGTGCCATATAGCCCTATAGCCCAATAGCCCTCTAGCCCTCTAGCCTTATAGCCCTATAGCCCTATCGCCTTATAGCCCTGTAGCCCCAAAACCAATAGCCAAATAGCCCTATAGCACAATAGCCCTATAGCCCTATAACCCTATAGCCTTGTAGCCTTATAGCCCTATAGTCCTATAGCCCTATAGCCCTATGGCCCCATAGCCCTATAGCCTTCTAGCCCTATAGCCCCATAGCCATATAGCCCTATAGCCCTATAGCCTCATAGCCCTATAGCCCAATAGCCCTATAGCCAGATAGCTTTAGAGCCTTATGGCCCTATAGTCCTCTCGCCCTAGAGCTCTATAGCCCTATAGCCCTATAGCCCTGAAGCCCTACAGCCCTGCAGCCCAATAGCCAAATAGCCCTGTAGCCCTATAGCCCTATATCCCTATAGCCCTATGGCCCTACAGCCTTATAGTATGATAGCCCATTAGCCCTATAGCCCTAAAGCTCTACATGTATGTATAGGTATGACTATAGCCCTATCGCCCTATAGCCCCATGGCCCCATAGTCCTATAGTCCTATAGCCGAATAGCTCAATGCTCCAATAGCCCTATAGCCCCGTGGCCCGATAGACTCATAGCCCTGTGGCCATATAGCCCTATAGCCACATACAACCAGAGCCCCATAGCCCCATAGCCATATAGTTCTACAGCCCTAAAGCCCTATGACCCCATAGCCCTATAGCCCAATAGCCCTATTGTCCCAAGCTAGAAGCACGGTGGGAAGTGTGGAAAGGGGGCGAAGGGGGGAGAGTACGTTTTGTCAAGCACCAGGCACGCAGCCTAAGCCCAAAGGGCTACGGAAGGAGTCCGAGCCCTACCCACGGCTAAACCCGAAGAGCGGGGGAGGAGAGGTCGAGAGGAAAAGGGACCGGGGGCCCTCGAGGGCCAGAGGGCCACCGGGACCCCACGGACCTCCGGGACCCGGACCCCGGGGCCCGAGGGGGACAGCGGGCCAAACTTTGGCGGGTTTAGCGCCCGCCATGTCCGACGCACCCGCTCTGCGCGGCCCGGCCTCGAACACGATGTAAGCCGGTGCTGGAGTCTGGCGCGCGGGCGTCTGCGGCCGCTCGCGCGCCGGGCCTCCTCCTCCTCCTCCTCCTCCTCCTCTCTCTTCTCCTCCGCCCCTCACCTCTTCTACCTCCTCCTCAGCCTCCTCTACATCCTCTTCCTCTTCTACCTTCTCTACCTCGGGGAACTTCGGGCCCCTCATCACCTCAGCTGACTCGATCTCCGGGAACTCAGCCTTAGCTGCCTGTTCGAGAGCACGCCTACTGGCCCCTCGGGATCTACTCTTCAAAGCCTCATTGAGGGCCCTCTCCGTCAAATGACCATGTTCGTCCACTAGGGACAGGGTTCCTCTGCAAAGCAAATCATGCAACGCAAGGTTGCCACGGGAAGGGTCCATCTTCGTGAGAGGATCGGCGGGCATCCTAGCGTGGGGCATCCACCGCACCTGAGACCCTATCGAGCACAAAGCATCTCGAATCACAGCAAGTTCGATGGCGTTTCTCCTGTCAGCCCTCGAGCCCGCTGAGTTGCGAGAGAGGGTGTCGAACACCGACTTCGCATCCACGACAGAAAGACAGGAGGCGGCCTCGCTGAGCTGACAGTCCTTGGACAGCACGACCGTGAAAGGGGCCTGTCCATTAAACCAGTCAGGCCTCGAGACGTCATTAAAAACAGCGTCCCTGAACAAAACTTGCAACCATTGAGCCTCGGCGGTGGCAGCGGACAGGGCCAACGTCTCCGCAGCCACCGTGCTAGCGACGGCTCTCTTTATCCTCTGGGAGCGCCAAGACAGCACACTAACCCTTGACCGTTTGTTCTGACGAATGCTGCCATCGGCAGCCATGACGATCCACGCTCCCTGGGCTCCACCTCGCCGAGCAGTTCCCGGGCCTCCCGATTCGCTCGCCGTAACGAAGGTGAGGGAAACCGGATCCAGGGACCAGAGGGTAAGCTTTTGCACCCACGACCCCTTGAGAAACTTAACCACTTTGGACAGAACGAGGGCATCGGAGATCAGGGGAGAGGGGAGGGCAGCGGCTAAGAGGGAAGCACTACCGGCCACGTCCGGGCGGCTCTCGCGCGCCAACCACTGCACCTGTGCAGCAACAGTACGATAGGATGAAATCTCATCTTTTGAGAGGGGCAGCTCAGGGCTGGCTCGCCTCTCTCGATCTAGATGCATCTGGCTCAGTTGCTCACGTATGTACTTCTCCTGATCAACCATAATGCGGTCGGCGTGCTGCACGACCCTCCGGCCCGCATACTCAGACTCGCTCTCCTTCCACTTGCCAAAGCAAAAGCGCTTACACAGAGCGTCCCTCAAAGGTCCCATCACGTCATCCCGACCCGAGACGTTGAGATCATCCACCTCAATTAAAACTAGGGCCTCGAGCCGGTCAAGCTTCCCGCGCTTGACCCACAAACAAGGCTCCAGCAGCGACTTGGTGAACCCTTGGCTGCCCAACCATTCAGTCAGAGTGCGATGCCACAGCAATGGCGCATCGTTAAGACCGTATACTGGGGCCACGAGTTCGATGAGCTGCTCCGAGGGGATACTAAGCCCCTGACAGGGCTCCACGAAGATGGCCCCATTGGGCCTGCGAAGACGATCCGACTGGCAGAAAGCATTTTTGGCGTCCGCAACGTGCAAACGCCACCCCATGGACGCGACAATCTGGAGAGTCACCATAATGCTTTCCGATTGGGGGGTCGGGGCATATACGGCAAGAGACTCACCATCTGGGTCCTGGTGCCCGTGAACACACCGGCGGCTCTTGGCCTTGGGGGCCGCTCCCACCCCCTCTTGCGGCTTTAGCCGCCGAACCATTCTGGACGAAAGAATCCGGTCAGGAAACCTCCTCCTCGCCAGCCGAGATTCTTCGGCGGAAAGAACACGCACGGCCCCGGACCCGAGGATGGCCTCCCACTCGGACTTATCCGACACGAGAAACTGCTGGCGCTCGGAGGGGGAGAGGTGCTTCCAGACCACCTCGGCTCCACGAGGCTTCACTGGGGGCCCCGCGTGAGCAAGGCCAGAGAAGGTTGTCTCCGTGAGGCCAGCCCATTCAAACAGCTCCTGCAGGAGGGCCTCGTCTTGCCAGTCGTCCCCGTCGCCTTCCAAGGTGGCCCAGCTGGGGGCCTCTGGGGCCCGGTCGGCAGCTCGACCCTCCGGGGTCCTAGACCGAGCTCTGGCTCCCATGGGACCCTCCAGCACTTGGGGGGCCGGAGCCGCCGGGGCGGCGGACGAAACCCTGGAAGCCCGGGGAAGCGAGACGTCTCGACACAGAGGGCGCACTCGGCCTCCGACTGGGGTAGGCCCATGAGGACCCGGAGCCGTGCCCCCGGAAAGCCCTGACTCTCGCTCGAGGACCATCCTGGCAACGCGAGGCCCTCCCCCGATGTCCTCGGCAGGCGTGAGCCTGGGAGCCACTCGTCGCTCACCAGGCTGCTCCGACCTCCGAGCCTCAGCACCACGCAAGACCGGCGGCTCCGAGCCCGGAGCGAGAGCAAGCTCTGCACTGCCAGCAGGCGGAACTCCGCCGAGAGCGGCAGACCCGGACGCCTCAGACGTCACGCGACCGATGGAACTGGCGGGGAGGGGAAACTCGGTGTCAGCCTCACTGGGCACGGGAGCCAATCTAGGAGCAACTGACGACATCGGGGGGGCCGGCGGAGCGGTCACGGCAGGATCCAGGTTCCTCGTGGCCGGTGATGGTTGAAGCTGGTCCCCCTGCTCGGCCCGATCATGGGCCTCTTGAGGCGGAGGGCCCTCTGAGGCCACGTCCACCGCACCGATGCGCCTCCCCGGGGCCCTGACCTGCCCCCGCAGAGCGTCAAACCTTTCCGTGTCCAAAAGCTCGGCCCCTAGGGCCTCCTGACGGGTCGCGGGCCTGACCTGCTCCTCGGAACACTTTAAGAGCCGAGTCCGCATGGCGACCCAG